TGACGCTGTACAAGCCCCCATTGCAGGGCGGGTCTGTATTGAAAAATCAATTCCAAGGGGGGATGAATTGAACTATCAATTATTACAGCCGAAGGAGCTTACACTTGCTTCGCAAGACAAACTCAAGGTATCTCCCTAAGGGCTACCTTTCGTGAATAGTTCACGGGAGTTGCGCTTCGTTCTATGTAACAATAATTGATTAATTAAATATCTATATACAAAGGAATTATTTTTCAATATAGGTTTGTTACTACATCAGATTCAAAGGTCTAAGAGCTCCTCGAGGCTGGATCCTTGGACACAATGACCTTGTAGTCGGAGTCTCACGAATTCTGGCACAATTTCTGCAGGATTTTTGCGTCCTGTTGAAATCTGAGTCAGCAGGTGGTGAAGCCAAACCATCTTTAAAGCATAATTTGCCTCTCGTTGCTCCAAGGCGGCTTCCACAGCCTCTCTCAGTTTGGCATCCACGTCTGGGACCTCTTTCACAAAACCGTTCCTGCTCAAAACTTTATGGTCTCTCAATGCTTCCCACAAACGCTGGCTTTGTTGTTCATTCCACTGGTGGCTGGCAAAGTTGTAGGCGCTCCGTGGTTGCAAAAGACCCAGAAACTTCGCAACTTCTGCACATTCACTGAGTGAGTAATCACAGGAGCCATTGAAAAGCTTCAGCACAGCTCGATGCTCTGCACGTGGAAGCTTTGGATAGCCCACACGACAAACAGACATACTTTTGCCAGTATCACTCAAGTGGCACTGGGCAAAGAACTCTTCTGCCTGCGTTGCCCGCTGAGGGGCATGTTTGCTTAGATACCTCATCTCTACCAACACATTGCTGGCTTCCCAGCCTGATAGCAAGATGATCGATGTCACTTGGTCATTGCCCGGAGACAAAAGGAAAGTATCCACTGCACGCAACGCATGTGCTCTTTCCAGAGGGCTGCAATGGTCATCTGTAATTTGGACACTGCAAAGCCAATTGCTGGTGATGAACAAATGACTTGGCATGTCTCTGAAATCGAGCAGCTGTGGCAAATGCATCCCGCAGCGTTCCAGCTCATCTGCAGTCATTGCATGCAAACGGGGACATGCATCGCATTCATTGAGGCAATCAGATACAAAACCTTTTTGTAAAGCATGGCCCCATTCCCATTGCTTCTCAGCAAGCGGTGTGTGGGCTTGGACTGGAGGAGGACACACTTCAGCTTCGGTTTCTATTTCGATTTCCTTCTCTCGTTCTGTCTCCTGTTCCCTCTCTCGTTCCTGTTCCTCATCCATAGAAGTAACAAGAACGCCCTCAGAACACAGTTTGTGATCATGCAAGTATGCCAACTGATTCCTGATTCTCTTGTGTGCTCGTTCTCTCCAGCGCTGTGTTTCTTGTGGTGTCAGATCTGCATTCTTCAAGATCTGTTCTGGGGCATCCAAAGCACGCCTAGGAATCTCTTCCTCACTGGGGCAAGCAGCCAGTGACTGGCAATACGAAGTCAACTGAAAATTCTCTGGCTCTCTGCAAAGCTTTGCCAAACTCCTGCATTCAGGCCCGAAGCCCCCCTGGACATGTTCCAAGAAGGGCCTTCGTGTTGCAAAGGCTGAACCCTGCAATGCCCAGTGAACAATAGCAGACTTCAACTCCTCTGCTGTCCGAGCTGTGACAAAAGCAAGAACTAAACCCACACTTGGCTCCACTCCATGCTGTCCACCTTCTGCTGCAAGTTGCCTTCCAGCTTCACTGTCCACAAAAAGCATAACCTTTTGACCCAGGCCCAGAGAACGCATGCGCATGCAGGCTTGGACTAGCCTGTCTTTGGTGGTCTTCTTACACACAGTGACTGCTCCAACTGCAGCTGGGGCAAAGCGTAGATCCGTTCCACGCGTGTGCTTGTCATCCAAATATGTGAAGCACTCATGGGCAGGTTGAAGTGGGCTCTTTGCCAAAGGAGTGTCTTTTCCATCACTGTCCAGTACCATGATCTGGTTCTCATCATCGAAATAAATAGCTGCCCGAAATCTATGAGGACTCAGCTTCAGCACAGCCTCTGCAACTTGCCGATTCGACATCCCAGTGAGCAAAGCACCGCAGTCAATCAGTACAGACACATGGACTTCAGATTGAGCGATGAGAATCTCCTCCAACATCTGCAAGGGTTCCTTGTGCTCAATCATTTTCACAGGGGACGGTCCGCCCATCTCAGGATCACAAAGACTTCGCAAAGCCCGGCCATCAGTGTGCTTCAACATGTCGTCCTCATACTGCTGCACCCCCAAAGGCAAAAGCTGCCGATTGTCCGCTCTGCCTGAAAATCCTCTCAAACGCCCAGCGGCCAAATCCCATGCACTTGATGATACCTGTCATGGGAGCCCGAGTGCTTAAACGCAGAGTTCCACTAGTTGTGACTGCTAGTCTTACAGAAGCACAAACATGATCTTTTTTCAACGTGGGCCCTTCATGCAGCAATGGGCCTTGAACGGAAATTGTCGAGTTTCCTTGACTCCTCCAGGAAAGTCTCGACAACCTGCAAATTCTTGCCCAGCTTTGGCCAAAGCAAATCAATCATCTGATCATCAAAGGTCAAGCCCTCTGCAGCCCTTGGGATTTTCGGCCTTTTGGCGACGGCTTTGTGAACAGCCCCAGTCTGCAAGTCATCTTCAATGGCTGCAGCCCATAACCAAAGCCTGTAGTGACGTGTTTGTTCCTTGAGAGTCAAGTCCTTCAACCATTGCAGGACACGGCGAAGTGACTGACGAGTCAAACCATCTTCTGCATAGGCGCGCAGGGTCAAAGTGATGGCCAAATCAGGGTGACCAAACTCAGTCCTGTCGTTCGAGGATTGTAATAGATATAATATATATGTCGCAATATATATTTATATACTCGGGGATTGTATTGTCTTATAAATGTGTGAACACACAACAAAGAATAACATGCATTCTCTTAGGATGCTACTAGGGGCTCCTGGCCTTGCTACTCCCATAACTTGCGCAACGAGTCTGGCGCTTCCCTCACCCCTT